TGGGGTCACTTGAGCCCAGTTTCTCTCCTGCCCAGGCAGGGAGTTGGACTTGAAGATCTACAAGGTCCCTTCTGACCCTACTTCTATGATTCTATGATGTCCCCTGAGGATATTCCCTGGTTTCACTGAGCCCAGAACCCAGCCCTGGACCCCCGATAAGCAAGGATCACTCCAGACTTACACCAAAAGGTCACTGCGATCAGAATCTGAGCGCTGACACCCATTCCAGTAACTTGAGGGACTGAGGTTGCAAACCAGTTGGGATCCCTGGGCCATTGGTTGGGAATGCTGAATTTGCCCCCAGGAGTAGGCCAGATTCTGGCCCTTGGAGGCTGAACTACCAGGACGTAACTTATACCGCTTGGCTGTTTAACTCCACACCATGTCTGTGTGAAACCCATGCTCTTGATGTCTCATCGCTGGACTGCAGCTGGGGGTGTCGACCCAAAGCCAGCGTGAATGCCCATGGGGCTGGGGGAGCCACGGCACTGACCTCAACCCACACTGTTACCTTCAATCTCCGGGTGCTTGAGCAGGATGAGGAAGCCGTAGCGCAGGGTGGTGCTGACTGTCTCTGTCCCAGCGAAGAACACGGTGAGCACGGTGAGGACGATGTTCTTCATGAAGAACTCAGAGGACAGGTTGTGCTTTTCCTGTCAAGGAGAGATGGCAATGAGGAGAAGGGAAGGCTCCTTCTAGGCCTGTGTGCCTCTGAATGCAGAGATGAGGAGTTTGGCAGATGGAGCCCAGGGCAGACCTTGGAGAAGCAGCCACCTTTCTTGGGAAGACACGGGGGCTCCCCCTTCCCATCGTACATGAACAGGGCAATGTTTGACTCCCAAATGGAGCCAAAGACAGCGCTGACCATGGAATTGACTGGGGGAGGCACAGCCAAAGGCGCTACTGGGACCAAGGTCTTGGCTCTGTCCACCGAAGGAAGAAAATCCAGGGTCAATGCCCCGGGAAACTCAGCCTGTCTCCAATTACTGCCTCCCATTAACGCAGATCAGGAGAAGACCTCCCATGCAAGCAGCCTCCTGCCCCTCCATCCCAAAGAAGGCCACATCCCGCGGGGTTTTTCTGAGTTTCCCTGCAGTCCCTCCCTGCTTCATCTGTCACCCCCGGCCCAGCACCTGGTGCATCTTGATGAGGAAGCAGTCAATGAAATCCCGTGGGGAGTTGGGGTCCAGGGTCTCCTCATTGGCCTTCACCTTCTTCTCAATGTATTTCTCCAGCCCCACCAGCAGCTTGAAGGCCTTGTGCTGGGGGCCAGGCAGGTAATTCATGACACCTGCGAACATCTCGTAGAGCTGGGAGAGGAACCAAGAACTACCTGAGCCTGGATCACGGGCTTGTGGACAGGTTGTCCGTTTTCCTGTCCATCCACAGTGGGACATTTCCAATGATTCAGCCCTTCTCCCCTTGGTATCCATCCCTCCCCATATGTTCTTTCTTGTACATGCATGTGTGTGTGTTTAAATATGTCTTATCCACCCATCCATCCACCCAACCACCTTCCTAGCTAACTAGCTAACTTCCCATCTATCCATCTTCCTAGCCATTCACCAGCTCCTGGGATTCCCATCCCTCCCTCCTTGCTCTACTGCATCTGAGTCATGCTATTTCCAACTAATCAGTTCACTACACAACTAAGGCTCTCTGTCCCCATGCACTGCTCCCTTTGACCTCTCTCTGAAGGAAGGGGATTGAGGACAGGTCCTGGCCCCTGCTGCCCAGCCACCCACACAAAGCACTTTTACCTGCCCCCAGGATGTGCAGGTGAAGCGGAAGCTCTCGAGCATCATGTAGAGCAGGGAGAGGAACTCCTTGTCCTTGTAATCAAAGCGGTCCCCAAAGACGACAGAGCTGATGACGTTGGACACTGTGCGGCTCAGGATGTAGGTGGGGTCAAAGGGCAGGCCTGGGACATGGGATGAGAAGGGATCTCTGTGGAGGGCTGTGGTGGAGCCAGAGCTTGGACAAAGGCTGGTGCCTGCCTCAGGGGCTGCCCCTGAGATTTGCTGAGAATGCTTCTCACTGAGGTAAACCAGAGTTGAAGTGCCTATATACTAATGCTAGGAGCATGGGGAACAAGCAGGATGAACTAGCGCTCCTGCTTGCACTAGTTGAAGGCAAGAGGCCAAAGTGGAAATGTGCCCTTGGTGGATGTGACCACATCAACTCCACCAGGGTTATGGTGTTGGCTACCGCTAGGGCCCTGCCAACCTTTGAACTCGGGGCACCCAGAGAGTCGTGGTGGATGGGTCAGTTTCGACCTGGAAGGGTGTGGGCAGTGGGGTCCCGCAGGGCTCGGTCCTTGGACCAATACTCTTTAATGTCTTCATCAGTGACTTGGACGAGGGAGTGAAGTGTACTGTGTCCAAGTTTGCAGATGACACAAAACTGTGGGGAGATGTGGACACGCCGGGGGGCAGGGAACAGCTGCAAGCAGACCTGGACAGGTTGGACAAGTGGGCAGAAAACAACAGAATGCAGTTCAACAAGGAGAAATGCAAAGTGCTGCACCTAGGGAGGAAAAATGTCCAGCACACCTACAGCCTAGGGAATGACCTGCTGGGTGACACGGAAGTAGAAAGGGATCTTGGAGTCCTAGTGGATTCCAAGATGAACATGAGTCGGCAGTGTGACGAAGCCATCAGAAAAGCCAATGGCACTTTAGCGTGCATCAGCAGATGCATGACGAACAGGTCCAAGGAGGTGATACTTCCCCTCTATCGGGCGCTGGTCAGACCACAGTTGGAGTACTGCGTGCAATTCTGGGCGCCGCAATTCAAGAGGGATGCGGATAACCTGGAGAGGGTTCAGAGAAGGGCCACTCGTATGGTTAAGGGATTGCAGACCAAGCCCTACGAGGAGAGACTAGAGAAACTGGACCTTTTCAGCCTCCGCAAGAGAAGGTTGAGAGGCGACCTTGTGGCTGCCTATAAGTTCATCACGGGGGCACAGAAGGGAATTGGTGAGTATTTATTCACCAAGGCACCCCCAGGG